GAAAACTTAGTTTAAAGAGATGTGAGAAATTTGGAACTCTTATAGGACTGGAAAAGTAAAATTCCAAATTATTTACCCCAAACTAAGCTTAGTGAAAGCAAGGGCAAGGAGATAGAAGACTTATCAGGAAATTAGATTAGAAGCAACAATAACCTATTTGCCTAGACCAAAGTTTCCTAATCATTATTTATGATAAGTATCACCTGAGATATTTTGTACACCTTCTCCAGGTTCCTCCCTAACATATTTTGATTCAGTACATAAAATGGGCGCTCAAAAAATTGTATGTAACAATCAATCCAGTTAAGTTTGTAAAACAATGGTGCTGACCTCACTCAATTGCCACCTATAAGTTAGTGACTTTCAATGTGAAGGTCCCAAGACCAGCAGCATCAGTCTCACATGGGAACTTGCTATAAATATAAATCCTTGGACCCCACCCTAGACTTACTTAATCAGAACCTGTCAGTGGACCCTAGCAATTTGTATTTTAACAAGTTCTTTAGGTGATTCTGATGTGTGCTAAAGTTTGAGAACTAAAGTACTAAAGAAATTCTAATCATGAACAACAGCAGCAACAACAACAAATCTGGGATCATTCAACTCCCAGGCACAAGAAATGGCATAAGATGAAGTAGACTGGTAAATCTATTTAAACCCCAGAAATGGCATTCACCCAAGATATGCCTCCAAGGGAAATCCTCCCAGAGAACAAAAAAGAAGTTTTCTCACTAGAGAACTAACTCACCTGCCAGGACTGGTAATTCTTGTATGAAAGATTATAACATATGCTTTGGATCAGAAATTACTGTGTGTTTCCTATTTCCTCTCATTTTCAAATAGTAGTTTTTAATTATATTTCTCTGATTATCTCTCCACTGGTGCATATTAATAATGTTGAGGTAAAGGGTAATTCATAACTTAACTATAGGGGACCAGACTGCTAGGAAGCTGGCTACATACTAATTAGAAATCCTGAAATTAATGATAAATGCACTAACTGGGTAAGACTTAAGGTTTTTCCCCTTTGGAAATATGTTTATTACACATAGGTGTGGGCATTTTTGAAAATGGATGTGTAAGAAGAAAGGTGCTCATAGATTCTAGGTTCTCAAAAGAAGGTATAGTAGACATTTGTGATTGGTTTATAGAATTCATTCTTAATTTCCTAAAACCCTTGCTTTTACTGGGAATCCATTTGATTCCAGAGAAATATACTGTGAGATTCAAGAATGGAGCACATGACTTTGCTAAGTCAGTCAATGTATTTCATCCATGAGACTTCAGTGACTGGTACAGGTGTGTGACCCAAGCCAGTCATAGGACACAAGTTACCTATCTTTCTCTAGACTGGACTGTTGTACCCTGGAACTTGTAGTTCAATTTTGCTGCCACAAGGAAAGGCAGCCTTAGAATGAAACTGACAAACAGAGGGAAAATCTTAAAGAATCATAAACACTGAGCCTGAGCCTCAATTCAAACTATATTTGAAGCCCATCTGACTTATAGATTTTTTAATAGTTATATTGATCAATTATGTTTGGTAATTGTTTAAACCCGTTTGAACTGGGTTTCTTGTTACATGCAGGGAAATTCTGTTAGAAAAGTCAAATCAAAATTATTAGTACAAATTTACATCTGGCATTAGACATGAGTGCAAACTTGAATCAAAAAAATAATTCATTTCATTTTTGGATTACTGATTATAGTATCTTAATTTTTCTCACAGTTTCAATATACAGCAGATTATCCCTTTAACGTCCATCAATACAAATATACTGGCCTCTCTCAAGAAGTTTTTCCCACAAAATATATCATGTTTGCATATACTTCCCATTCTACTTTTCAGCAAAATTTGACTGGCAGAAATTGTGGGTTTGTAGGGTCATGTAAGTTTTCATTAAACTGGGTTAGGGTTTGAAGGTTTGAATTAATCACATCTGCTTTCCTTCCAGGTTCTGAACCAGTTAAAAAGTATACACAGGAATCAAATAGGGATTAAAATATCAGCTTTAATATACTGTTAAGTGAAAAAAGCAAAATTCAGAACAGCATGTATAGTATGCCACCATTTGTGTAAAAAAACTGATACACAAACATATCCACACACAATATGCTTGTAAATACATGAAATATCTCTGGTAGGATACATAAGTAACTGGTAACAGTGGTTACTTTTGGAAAGTAGAACTGGAAGACTGAGGCCAGGGAAGCACGGGTGGGAAGGAGGAAAAGAGACTTTTTATTGCAATACTTTTTGTACTGTTTGACTTCTACCATATTTTTCTTAAAAATTTAAATATATATATACTAAAATTAAAAAAAAATAGATACCAGTATAGCTGATAGAGCTGGATTGGGAAACATGGCTTGGACCTAAGGATGAAATGAATTTCTACCCCAAGTCTAAAAAGTGTGGGATCATTTACCCCAAGGGGGAAAGTTGGATATGCAGGAATGTTTACCCAGTCATATACTGAAGCACTGCAGTCTTCTTCACACCTTGCTTGAAATGAGCCAAGAGGAGCCTAGTCTGCCTATCCATTATAACCCTTTACTTAATCTCACCAAGTTATTCCTCATACCATGTGTAAGACTGAATGAGTGGCAAGAGAAGATGGGTAGAAACTTTCTTCCAAATATTTTTTAGAGGTACAAGTCCTGTTTTTTCTTGAGTCAGGAACATAAAGAGAGGAAGACAATTGACCCCGTCAACCCTTGTACATTTTTGTTCTCTTCAGCCACAGTGGTTAACACACAAGACTCTGGTCAATAAACAAGGCCATGGCTGTCCCCTTCCAGGCTGACCAGCAGTGTTTTAGAAAAACCCTGCACGTCTATCTACATAATAGCAGTTCTGCTTTTACCCTCAAGAGGCTCTGAAATGAGTCAGAATAGGGCAGAATTAAATTAACTCCAAGAATATATTATGCTCCAGGCTAAAAATTCACTCACTATTTTATCTCCAATTTATAATTACGCCCAACCATATTATCTGGCATAGTTTACAACAATTCTACAATGACCCCCAAAGATTGCATTAAAATATTCCAAATAATACAATGTCAACAATATAATGAAAATGCCTTAACTTGAACTATATGACTCCATCCCCATTAACTATTACTCTCCACAGGAAAAATGAATACCCCCAATTAAATTTCTAATTTAAAGTCCAAAAGAATGAAGTCCAAAATTTTGCCTTTACCAATTTCTTTTTTTTCCTCTCATTTCAGCCATACAGATCTCACAAAGATGTCTGTACAGATACAAGGTTCCTTCGGCAGCTGTAGCCTGGGCTGTCTTCCTCTTGATTGAGTGTTGTTCCTTCAGGACCTCAGGAGCTGAATTAATCTAACCCCACAATTGCATGCCATACATTTTTAAGAGTCCAAAGGGTCAACAGCACATAAGATTATAACAGTATCAGCCTTTCATTCAAAAAATTAGAAAGCACACTAATCCCTAGTCACTAGAACAGTTTTCCCAATAAATTGATGCTCCCCAGGACTCAGTACATAGGGAAATACAAACCCACATTGCTGTTATCGGCCAAATATCATAGCAGAGACTTACTGGCATCAAAAAGAAGAAAAAGTAGTCAGAGAAAACATGGGAGAAAAGAGAGTATCTTCTTCGTTTCATCCTCAGCGGGATGCCAGTCTGTCTTTGCAGGTAGTCTGGACTCCACGACCTGTGAATTTAAACTAATTTGGAAGATATCTCCCAAGTGGTTGATTGCACTGCCAAGAGTCCCAGCCCCAATATGCAAGGCCTTATTAGCCTGTTACTGCTAATGAAGCTTCTGTCAGAACCCCAATGAGAGAGCATTGGCTTTGGTCAGGTGCTTCTCCCCAAAACCTTGCTTATTTTTCAGCCTTTGCTTCCTAAGCTTTGATTAACCTTCACCAACACTTTTAATAATGAAAAGTATAAGGCCGCTTCCATTGCTTATTTTTCTGATGCAGTGTGTCTCACCCTTATCTGCACATGAGTTTCTTAGGGCCAGCCAAGAAACAGGATAGAGTTGAAAACCAAAACACTGAAAAAAATCTATTAGATTTTATATCTACCAACTCCAGACCTTAAAACATCATTAAGCCTACAGATGATCTAGCACTAATTGTATTACAGAGTCCTGCTGGGACACCATAATAGATGAGCCCCCTAGTCCCTGTGAAGGAGATCCTGTTTTCTGCCTTTCCTGGTTCTCCCAAGTGCCTCACCCACCTCATATACTATGACTCTGAACTCTCCAAAGAATTGAATCTAAAACCTAACCTAAAACTTCTGAAAATATCTCTTTTGGCACAGGAAAGAATGCTGATTCCAGGTTTTTGCTTTTCCATTTTGAGGTTCTGGGCAGATCTCTCAAGACTTGCTAAATTCAGCCTTTGTCCTGTGACTAAAGACTCTAGCTAGAGCCCGGTTTAATGCTCCACTGGGTTGGCAAAGCCCATTTGTGCTAAAGTCTGTGTGCACAGCCTGAATCTGTTAAAACCCACTCCATGTCTGCAGGTACCAGCCAAAGATATTGTAGACAAGAGAGATCCCATTGCCATTGATGAACAAAATCTTTCACTTAAGCTCCCCCATGCATACTGATCACTACACTTGGAGTTTGGTTCCCCAATGCTTGTTTTCTTATTAATTATGAAAGTTTGCAGCCTATTCTCGTGTACTAAAATGCAAAATAATTGCCTTCTTGATTCTGGATCAGTTGAACAATAGGTGCAAAAATCAGAAAGGGAGCAAAATGTGTTGTTGGTCTTACTTTAAGTGCAATTAGAATTGAGAATACAACTTGAACAGAAAACCAAAATGAGCTCCCCACATCTTCCCAAGTTAGACTTTTGATGTCACCCAAAGGGAGATTGGAGATTGCAAAGACACTTACCCAGCCAATCACATAGAATATCTCAGGAAGCTTCACACCTCAATGAGTGTAGAAAATCCAAGTGCCAAAAATAGTGAGGTGAGATGTGTTCATCTATTAATACCACCCAAGATAAAAGAATGGGCCAATGGATATCAGACTTTACCCTTCACTGATCAGTTACATCAATCATTTTCCTGTGGAGAGGAACCAGTGAAAATGTTGTAAAGAAGGGAAAAGGGTTCCTTATAAAAACACCTGAAAGGGCAGAAGTTCCGATTTTTTTGCCAGGCAAAAACATGCAAAAAAGAAAATGGTTCCTATAAGCTGGAAAGCAATCACGGCGTTGTGTCTACAGATTTTAATCTTACATATTTGGTAAATTTCAAGATGACCTCTAAGATGTTTTTACCAAATCGTAGACATAGATATGAAAATCATCATCAAATTTGATAAAATACACAGAGGGTTTTGCTTCTACCTGATGAATGACCATGCCAGTTCTTTTGGAGCCATCGTCTTTGGCATATTCCACCTGTTTGCCTACTAGGCTGTCTATGACTTCTCCTGGCTCCCTCTCTGCTGGAGGAGAATCACTGGAATCTTGAAGAATGCGAAGGTCACCATCTTTATAATCATCTAGGAGCTGGTACATATATAATACAGGATCTTTCTCATAGGTAATGTAAAACCATGTGTTCATGACAGGTGCCTGAGCTAAGACCATCCCTCTCCATTCATTTTTGGAACCCTCCTCTGTCTCAAAAATATGTTCCACTGCTTTGCCAATCATGATTTCTGCTAAGTGTGTATCACTGATTCTAGATGATGCAACTCTATTAGGAAAGACTTCAAGTGATGACACTCTTTCATCTCTGTAAAGTTCCAATCCATAAACACAGTCAAATCCATCATATTTGATAAGATACAGAGAGGGATTTACAGGTACCTGATCCAGAATGGTTCCCTTCCACTGTGTTAGAGGTTCATTTCCGTCTTTCCAGCCATGCTGAATTCTGCAACCCACAATATTCCTCCTAGGCTGAGAGGTGGGTCTGCTCCTGTGCTTCTTGTGTGCAGCCTTCTTTTTCATCACGGTCACAGACACACTGGTGTGTCCTGTGTCTGTCCTGGACTGCTGCCCTGCAGCCGCCTTTCCAAATGGAGTCTTCATGCCTGTGAAAAGCACAGTTGCCAGGTGGATCGAGAAAGGAAATTAACAAAAGAGAAAGTCAATGTCTGAGCTTTTTTCTCCTAATCAGCGCAACCCGTGCACCCACGCCTGTTTTTCCCGAACGCTGCACAGAAAATCTCAAAATCAAGGCACCCTGGCTGCGCGCCTGCAGTAACCTTCTTCCGCAGCTCAGTCCCGCTATGGTAGAGCGAGGTAGGCGCGGTTAGGTGGAAGAAATAGGAGGCATTTCCCCCATTTCCCTCACCCAGCGTCCAGCACTATTTCGGCTTGGAGGCGGCACAGATTCCCCACCGTCCCGGATCGCAGGCCTAACGTGCCCAAATCGGACACCTCGTCGCTGCTTCCGCTGAGAGCCTACAGCGAAGGAAGATCACCAGGCGATCAGCTGAGCGCTTGCAAGAGCTAGGAGAAGACGATCCCCAAGCAAGGAGTGTGTCTAGGAGGGCAGCGGGGCAAGCGAAGAGGACTGTGGTGGCGTCCTCAGCGCTTGGTTCCTGCACCCACTCGTCTGCCTCTCTGTTGGCGGCGGCGGCCTCTCTGTTGGCGGCGGCGGCCTCTCTGCCACATCGGACTCTCACTATCTGTTGCTGCCGCCGCAGTCTCCTCTCTTTTTCTACTGCAGCTTCCCGACTGAAAAGAGGCCTCCCCTTCCAGCTAAACACCAAGCGGAGGCCCTCCCCCCACTTCCCTCTCCACCACCAACCCGCACCACCGCGCTGGGCGGGGCAGGTGCTTCTAGGCTCCCGGTCCGTCACTTTCTCCAAATCGGAAGCCGGTCAGGCCCACAACCGCCTCTCCCTCACTGCCTAGGTTCACCTCATCCAGTTCAAGGCCCCCCACCCCACCTCCACCTCCACTCTTTCAGTGCTCTGCTCCATCTGTTTCCCATCTTTCAGGAATTCGCTCTTTCCTCCCCCGCTGCGCCCTTGTGGAGTTGTTCTTTATAAGCAAAAGCCTGCCTTTCCTGTCATTGAAGTGGATTTGTGGTAGTACAGGAAGAATGTGCTAAGGCTCTGCATTCAGGCTGCCATCTTAACCCAATCTATGTAATTTTTCACAGATTTGTCATTTCCAGACTTTACTTCTTGACGATTTTTTTTTCTTTTTCACTGACCGCAAAAAAATTGCCTGCACAATGTGTAAAATTCAGAAAATGGACATGAATAAAATATAGTAAACTGTAAGCCCATCTCCCATTTCTTAGGGATCACAGCAAAAAATAAATAAATAAATAAATAAATAAAAATCATTATTTCCTTTCCCTTTTTTTCTAAGCTCTTACAACCTGGGGATAATTTTAAATATACAATTTCATGCCCTGCCCTTTTCCATATAGACTAAGCATTTGCTCAGGTTTTTAGATATTTTATGAAAATATGTTTAGTTGTAGCTTCATAAGATTATGCATAAGGATTTTTCATAATTTTACTATTCCCTCCTATCTTTAGGCATTTAGATTTTAAAAAGCTTATAAATTGTGCGTGCACATGAATTATTAATCGATTCAATTAACAGAATAAATAACCTAGACATCACACTTATTATCAGAACAATTACTATAATTGTAATATAAATTTAGTTTTCAACATTGTGAGATCATAAATCTGTGAACAAATACTTATTTTAAAAGTGATTCAACTATTTTTACTATTATAGCTATCCCAGTGGGCAAGAAATGGTATTTCATTGTGGGTTTAATTTGTATTAACACATTCTTCCTGGTGAGGCAGGCTAGAAAAATGTACCAATCAGAAAAAAGCGCACAAAAGGGGGCGTCCGCAGACCTGGAAGTGGGCATTCTCACTCCGGTCCATGGGGCTTGGAGTGGAAGTTTTTACCAGGGACCTGGCCTACTCTGTCTGCTTATCCAGTTCTTCCTTTTGCTTCTCTCAATTATACCATTGATTATTTCAGTAACTACATGACAGTTAAAATTTGCTTTCATTATCATGTTCATGTAAAGCAAAAATAACAAACCCTTTCTAGGCCAAGGGAAACCTGAAAAACTAAATCCCAGGCCATGATGAAAAAGGAGGTTGGACATACCTCATTATACTGCCTCCCCTTTGGAGTTTAGGCACAACTGACGAGTATTAACGTTAAAATAGAGACCATAAGACTGACAAAACAGACTCTGTGGAAATAAAATACAAAATTCCATCCTGATTTTGTGTAGCATCACATGATATATAGCAGACCTTAAAGGAAATAAAAATATTTTACCTCAAAATATAATTATTTGACATATTTTAAAATAACCTGCAAGTCTTCTCTTGGGGAATTTTGTAACTGTACATGTAGATCATCATCTCTCCTTAGGAAGAATCTGACACCTTTTAAGACATTTACCACCAATTCTCTCTCAGCCTGTCACTTAAAGCCTTCATCTACATAACAGGAACCTTGGCTTCCACAATTCTTTTTCTTTTAAATCAAGCATTTATTTTTTTCTACTGACTTCAAATGCTTTGGACAGAGCTTCACTCCTTCAACCAATTGCCAACCAGAAAATCTTAGAATTCACCTATGACTTGTGAGTCCCCCCAGCACCAACTCTTTTAGATGTCTTGCCTCTCTGGACTGAACCAAAGTATACCTTATGTGTATTGATTTATGTCCATGCCTGTGTCTTCTGTTTTCCTAAAATGTACAAAAACAAGCTGCAGCCCAATTATCCTAGGCATGCGTTCTCAGGACTACTTGAGACTGTATATTGCAAGGGCCATATGGCTTAAAATAAACCTTTTTAAATATTTTGCAGAGCTTGTCAACATTATGAACTTTAGAATTTTAGCTTGTCAATGAATTTTAGGATTGTGAGTATTTTTTAAACAAACAAACAAACAAACAAAAGGTCAGTGGAATTTTGATAGGGGTTGAATCTGTAGATAAACTTGGGGAGTATTATTATTGTTAGTTCTGTAATGAAATTTTAGTTCTGTAATATTAGCCAGATGGAAGCCCAACCTATGAGATGATTCTGAATAACCTCATTAAGGGTAAATTGTCAACAATGTTAAAAACCTAACATGCCCATTATAAAATGGGCAAAAGATATGAACAGACACTTCACAAAGGAAGACATCCGAGCAGCCAACAAACACATGAAGCAATGTTCAACCTCGCTAATCATCAGGGAGATGCAAATCAAAACCACACTGTGATACCACCTAACTCCAGTCAGAATGGCAATTATCAACAACTCAAAAAATAACAGTTGCTGGAGAGTGTATGGCAAAAAGGGAACACTTCTACACTGTTGGTGGGAGTGTAAACTAGTGCAACCTCTGTGGAAAGCAGTGTGGCGATTCCTAAAAGCTCTAAATACCAACCTCCCATATGACCCTGCAATCCCCCTACTGGGAATATATCCTGAAGAACACAAATCACTCTATAAAAAAGATACCTACACACGTATGTTTATCGCAGCATTGTTCACAATAGCAAGAACCTGGAAACAACCATGCTGTCCATCAAAAGAGGACTGGATTAAAAAAAATGGGGTACATATACACGATGGAATACTACGCAGCCATAAAAAAGAACAAAATCATGAATTTCGCAGCAACCTGGATGGAACTAGAGTCTATAATACTGAGTGACCTCTCACAGGAACAAAGATCCGAGTATCACATGTTCTCACTCATATAATGGACCAATGCAATACTATAAGAAAATGACTGACAGTACTGGGAAACCATGGGGGGGGGGAGATGGGATTAACAGTAGCAAATATCTGTCTGGGAACGAGGAAACACCTCATATCAACAGAGTGCCTGAATGAAACGTAATTGTATACCTAACCCTTAACTGTACCCCACAACATCATAATACAAATTAAAAATAAAAAATAAAAAAACAAACCTAAAATGTTCTCACTTTGAAGCTGACAGTTAATCAGCAACCCACTAAGTGGTTCGTGACACCCCTGCTTATCTTAAGTTACAGAACCTCCATTGCTCTAGGCCATTTGGTCAAGATACCCTAACTTGGTGGGCTATCTACACAGAAACTCCCCATAACCCTCTGACCTGGCCTTATATTAACTTAGTCTACTTGTCCAAACAACCCCCTAACCTGGCCCTATATAATCAACCTCCTTCTTTAACTTGGGGCTGATGCCATCTTAGGCTCAGCCAGGCAGGAGTACTTTTAATAAACTTTGTTCTTTCTCAGACGGCCATCTGCGTTCCTCTCTCAGCAAGCTTTACAGTTATCTCAACAATATTAAATCCATGACCACAGAGATTACTGTGAGCATAGCTTCCCATGAATATAGTTTCCCATGAACATTGGGTACCTTTCAAATTATTTTGAACTTATTTAAATTATTTCAGCAATGTTTCGTAGTTCTGGTTAAATTTATTTCTTAGTCTTTTTATTCTTTTTGATACTTTCATAAATGAAATTGTTTGGTTTTTATCCCCCATTCAACTCTTAAGACTCTTGGACTATCCTGAGTGTTAAGAGTGTCTTTTTGTATGCAAATGAATGACTGGTGTACGGGGACCATTTATGCCTTCAGGATGGGAACTGCTCCTCAGAAACTCCAGGTCATTATTAGAAGGTTAAAAGGGAGAGAAGTTGAAAGTTGAATTGATCACTAATGACCAATGATATCTATTTAATGAAACCCCCATAAAAAACAAAAAATGACAAGATTTGGAGAACTTCCAGATAGCTGAAGACCTGGAGGTTCTTAGGGACTCACTCAAACAGGGTATAAAAGTTCCATGCTCCTTTCTGTATACCTTGTGCAAAGCATCTCTTCCATATGGTTATTAATCTACATCCTTTGTAACATCCTTTACTATATGTAAGTAAATGTAAGTAAAGTGTTTCCATGAGTTCTATGAACTACTCTATAAAATTAATTGAAATCGAGGTGGGTGTCATGAGAACCCTAACTTATAGGCAATTTGTCAGAAGTACAGATTATAAATTAAAACTTGTGTCTGTCATTTAAAGTGTAGGGCAGTCTTTTGGAATTTAACCTTCATGATTTCTTAAACTAAGTTTTATTTTATTATAGAGATGTGGGGCACAAGTAAAGATTAACTACATAAGTAGGCTGCATGCAGGTGAAATTTGGACCTCCAACTGGTCCTCACTTCCCGTGGGGTAGTGCCAGGTACCTTGGTGTTGTTACATGCCCTTCCCTCCCTAAATCCATCCCCTAGCAGTGCCCAGCGACTGCCAATCCATCATTATGCTAAAGTGTTTAATGTTCAGGTTCCAGTTATGAGTGAGAACATGTGGTATTCATTCATTGTTTCTGATAGATCACTAAGTATTATGGTCTCCAATTCCATCTAATTTCCTGCAAAGTCCATGATTTTGTCCTTCTTTATGGCTGCATAATACTCTATCATGTATATGTACCACATTTTCTTTATCCAGCCTACTTATGATGGACAGTAGGGTTGGTTTTATGTTTTTGCTATTGTAAATAGTGTGGAAATAAATATGAGTGTGCAGGTGTCTTTTTTTGTCGAAAGATTTGTGTTCCTCTAGGTATGTTACCAGGAAAGGAATTGCTGAATTGTATGGAAGGTTAATTTTTAGTTCTTTTAGGAATC